CTTCTAATCTCCATTTCAATCTTTCTAATTACTTCCCTCTTTGTTTTTCCCTCTTTCTGTATTTTTCTCTTTACTAAAAAAATCACTGATGATGAAGAAATTAAGAAACTAATATTTAGTTCCTTTTTCTACTGAAATGATTTAAAAAACAACATGACAGAGCGTCTGCCTCGTGAGCTGATGTCTAACCTGTAGCTGACTGTAGAACTTTTCCAGCGAAATTTGTCTCCAAACTTCTCCACATCTGACAGGCCGCATCGTGGCTTTTTCATAACCGCAAGAGTCTCTGCATCAAGTTCTCCACTGGGAAGCAAACCAAAGAAATGCTGCATCTTCTTCATGTTTTCTTTAAGACCAGTCTTCTGGTCCAAATCCTTGTCAGATTCTGCTGCCCTCTTTTGTCTGTTGGACTCAGACTGGTAGCTGTAGAAGTGTTGTAGATATTCCTATAGAAATTAAATTACATTACATGAACAGAAATAAAATAAGATGTGAACTAATGAACTAATCTTATTCTTTCAGTCAGTTCAGCAGAAGAGAGACAGAGTAAACAGAGCTCATGAACTGACAGAACAGTGAACATTCCAAACATAATAACAGTAATGTGCAGAAATATTTCTGAACACAGAAAACAACAGTTGTTACATCATCATGCACACACATGTTCAAAACCTTTTATTAATAAGATTACTGCAGAGCTGAGACTCAGATCTGTCAACACTCAGACCTGAGACCCAGACCTGAGTCTCAGACCTGACAGAACGATTTGTCGACTCTCAGACCTGGGACTCAGCTAGCCTTGTCGAAGATGGTAGAGGAGATACGGTGAGTCTGACCCTGATTTTCAGAGAACTAAGAGAACTTAAACCAGATAACAGTCAAAAGCTTGAAGCTGTGGCCCACCCTCAGGGTCCCAACCCAGATTCATTCTTGTAAAACTCCTGAGTTACAGAATGAAGGAAGAGGTGCTTCACTTAGCATGGCTGACACAGGGTTTCATGTGGGATAAAATAAGATMATTTTGGATGATTATGCCCAGAGCAGGGGTTCTTAACCTTTTTGACCTCGGGGCCCAGTTTATTGAACATAAAGTGGCACGAGGCCCAGTCAGACATTACCAATGTATGGATCAAAATGATAATTATTCTAAATCTTGGTTTAATTTTTATTGTATTAACATTGTAACTAAATTAAATACACTTAAATTCTAAAAGTAAAACTCCTGTCAAATAATCACAAGACATGAATATGACAAACAATTTTT